TGGCCTGGCTGCGGAGGCCAGCAGGAAGACAGCCTGAGGAAGGGCTCCCAGCGACTGACTAAACCCTCCAGATACAGAGGAGAAGGATAAACAGGAGCCACACCAGCCAACGCCAGCCGGCTGATCCTGCAGCACACAGCTGAACGCAGAGGTGAGCTTAAGCCTCGGAAACAAAGAAAAGCAGAATCCCATCTCCTGCAGCAAGAGACGGCGTTCAGGACTACAGCCTTAGCCAGAACCCGACGGCAATATTATGACTAGACAATCCCAGTTTGAATGCAAAACTCACCCTCAGGTGCAGCAAGCTGCGACACCTCTGAATGCACACACCAGGGCAGGAAAACACACACGGATACACGAGCCCTCACCTGTAGGTGAGTGATGTTTCTATCGATGTCCATCGGGGAGGTGACGCAGTTCTGTGAAACGTATTTGTAGTTGCTAGGACAGGGCTCGCTGTCCACCGAATTGACGCAGGGAATCGGGATCCGCTCATAACCCCGGGCGATGTCTCTGTCAGTGGGAGAAAGAGAATCACCACAGAAGAAAGGCTCCCCCAACGAGAGGTCACTCGAATGCCATCCCGGGGCAGAAATACTGTCTTTGATCACAGAGCATTCAAAGCCTGAAAGCAATTCAGGCTAGAACAGAGTTCATCTTTTTCCACCCTGCCTTACAGATTGTCCTTTGTGCTTGCAAATATTTCCATTTTGGAGGATGAATTTACAAACCATGGTCTGAATCAGCATGTGCTTAGTACTTGCTAAGCTCAAACTGACCTTCATACCCGTTAAAAAAGCTAAGCATGCACTTAAGTCCTTCCTTAAACCAGGCCCACAGCCTCCCCCATGCAGGGGCTCTATTTCATGACCCACAAGCAAAGCGAGATGCGTTCTCACCTGCTCACGACCTTCTCGATCTGGGCAGGCTTGTCAGGAGATGATTCTTTGAGAGTCTTGTTCATCTGTAGGGCTACCCAGACCTGAGAGTTAAGGCTGGAGCACTGGAGTGGAGTCTCGCCTTCCTTGTTCTTTAAAGTGACATCCGAGCCACGGGAAAGAAAGAGACTGCAAAACAGCAAGAGAGGATAAGCATCCCCCACGAGAAACCGCACAAGGGGAAAATGAGCTGAATCACATCCTCCAGCCAGCCCTTAAGGGACAAGGAAGAATCTGTAGTTGTGAATAATCACCTGAGTTTTCTTTATTAAGTATGGCTCAGTGAATCCTTCTACGTGAAGGTGCTGGCAGAAGCCACCAACTGGAGCTCTAGTCATTCACGAGAGCTCTGGGCAAGCCTCGCCTTGCTTCAGGCATGACAAGTACCTTGCTGGTACCAGCCTAACTTCAGGCAGGCTTGAAACTCTCTCTGGCAGGGAAAGATAACGGGTGGGAAGAGTAGGCTGGAAACAGAAGAGTCCCACAGGAAACTGGGATATTTGGACTTGGCCCTTGTTTATACTCACCAGCTTTTGGTGAGTACACAGGAGGACTTGATTCATAGCAGTGACGAAGCAAATGAAAAGCCCTGTTACCATATCATGCCACGCTAATTGTGGCGAGGGGGGAAAAAAAGAGCAGCTTTAATCAAGGATGCCTGATGCCTTCTGGCTGAGAAGCCTAGGCTGAGCATGGCTCAAGCCCTCTGCCCAAGACTCCAGGACCACTCCTGCAGTGAGCACTCCACACTTTCTGATCCTTTTTTGACACCAGCTGCGGCAGCAGCTCACATTTCAGACCCGCCGCCCCTAGGAACAGGGCAACGGAGAAACAAGCCCTCCAGGCCAGTTTTGTTTGTGCATTTCAAAGGGATCTCCCAAGCTTGCCAGCCAGGACCCAGGGAGAAAGAAGTGACCAGTGGACGGGAGAGAAGTGGCGGGGTCCCCGTGAATGTTCACCGCATGTAAATCGCACTTAGCAGCCAGCAGGATCTCCGCTATGTCAACGCAGCCAGAAAAAGCAGCCCAATGCAAACAAATATTTTCCTCCTGGAGGGAAAGAAAACAAGAGCGGAGGCCGTTTAGCGCGTTAAAACCCAATGGCTTCGGGACTTCGCCGTTCTTAGCTCTGCACCTGCAGGATGCAACACGTGGCTCGCAGTCTCCTTCCCTACATCGCTCCTTCTGGCTGGGACTGCCAGGGCGGGCAGGGAAATCTCCGCGCAGACGAGGAGGGAGTTCTCACTCCAGCCGCCTCCGCGCGCCGACGACAGCGGGGAAGGCTGCGCACAAAGCGGCCCATCGCCTTCCTCAGACGCGCAGGCAAGTCGTCTGTCTCTAAGCCACAAAACAATCTGGATCAATCCACGAGAGAGGTGGCAGACGTGAACAAACACGCTGGAAAAGGCTAGAAGCTGAGCTTCCCCAGCCCAGACAGACAGGAACGCTAGCGTGTCTCCCAGCACTGCAAAACTGAAGAGAGAAAGAGCAGAGCACAAGCTATAGGGGGTGTGTGAAGATGCTAGAAAACGAACCACGAGCCACAGGGAAAGCAATCAATCCGACTTCAGGCATCTCTTAAATACTGTATGCACTCATCTCTCACCAGCAGCACTAGAAATAGCTGAACACTCATCTTTTTGATGGAGATATTTTAAGCGATGATACCGTTTTCTGTTACAGTACAATTTGCAGCACACTCCGAACTCTTCCCCATGACGAGCTCTAAAGGTGTCGATTACAACAGCGCCATGATAGTAATGACCGCCTAATTTTTTCCGTCTTTTTTTCTTTTTAAAAGCAAAAATAAAGCATGTCTTTTAGTCATTACAACTTCAATTAGATCCTCCCCTAAATGAGGAGGCTATTGACACACACCAGGGAGCAGGGAGACCTTTTTCTATAGGGCTTCTGCCTCCCCATTAAGGCAACACCTAGAAGAAAACCCTCATCACACCACACACCCACCTACAGAAAAACTTAATCCTGTCGGCTGCACACCCCTTGCTGCTGCTCAGACACGCTGCAGACACCTGGACGTGCGACTCTGCCTTGCGTTGGCTACTGCCTAACAGCAGCATAATTAAAATCAAAAAGCATTTCTCCCCGAGCGTGATGTTTCCCAGCACGAGTGACACTGCTCCTTAACGACCGCGATCGGGGGACACCAAATAGAGGTACGGCCACGGATATGCGATACGCGCATCTAAGAGGATATTTTTCTTTCAAGTAAATTGTTGACTGAGCTGATCTGATTGTCATCATTTAACACATGACGTTGTAACTGGTAGGCAAAAAGGCTTCTGCGACAGACCAAGCAAGTAATTTTTGTTCAGAATCAGTACTAGGGCTCTGAAGCAACACAACAACCCAAAAAGCCTCCGCTCTCTTGCCTTGACCTTAGCTTTTAGGATCCGTATCAGGTCCAGACCTGCCTGGAAACTATCTAAACTACTGCAGAAATAGAAGATCCTACAGAGAAGGGGCTTTCAGATGAGGTGATGACTCCTTGGGAATCAGGTCTTCTCCTCAGCCTTTCTGAGCCCCACAAGACAAACGTGCCAACACCTACCCCTGCTAGTACCCAAGACACAAAATAAGGCATTTAGGGAGACAAAATACAAACCTGCTGCTTATATCCCTTGGATTAAAAAAGCACTAGGAGTCTCGGACAAGGGAATACACTGCCATGAGGCACACTAGAGTGTGAACTGAGGGCAGGGTAGGTACTTGACTGCAACAACTCTGTGCAGAAAGCAGTGAAGCCAGTTACTGCAGAAAGCAGTGAAGCCAGTTACCCTTCATTTATCAAACTACATCTCACATCTACAGGCCAAAGCCTGGAGTAGCTCACTGCACCCCAGATCACACCCAAGTCTGGGTGCAGGTACTTCAGACTTTTCAATATCCTTAGAGGCAGAAAGGGAAAACTGAGAAACACCATTAAGAAAAAAAGAAGAGGATCAGTGTTGATATAACAAGTCTCCTGAACAGAAACCTGCATGACTGGGGTACAAAGGAGATGGCATCTCCCTCTGTTTACTCAAAAATGCCTGTGAAACCAGTGGGCACGGCCCCACGCGCAGCACTACCGGGCCCATGAAGCTTGTGGGGACTCAAGAATGGAGTTCATCCCATCCGAGCAGGATTTAGGGACGTTAAGGGCCAGCTCCAGCATGCTGAGCCACCAGCCTGGACACATTCCATCCATATTAGTGACTACACGCCTGTTACGCCTAGGAAAAAACAGACTTGCCATACTTACTGCCCAGTCCATCCTGAAAACACGAGGACAAGCTCACACCCCTAGGATGCCCCTAACCCCCAGATGCGCACTGGGCTCTGACTAACGTGGAGCTGGTACATCTGGACTTGGGAGGGATCTGCCTGGCGCAGCGTTAGCGTGGCAGCACGGTGCATGAGAAGCAGCAAGGGACAGAGCCCCCCGCAGCGTCATGTGCAGCATCCTTATGGGCCACATCAGAAGAGCTGGAGGAAAAACACTTCTTGTCAGCTTGTAAACTTCTTCCTAGAATATGGAGGAAAGTTCTCCCACCAGACACCGTTCACTCACTGCCCAAGTGTCAAGGGATCACCAGACCTCCCTGCCCTGAGCCCAGAACCTGCCTGCTCTGGCTTGTTTGGTTTTTGAACAGAGATTCTTGGAGAAGAGAAGGCCCTAGGGTGACTAATAGCAGCCTTCCAATACATGAAAGGGGCTACAGGAAAGCTGGAGAAGGGCTTTATACAAGGGCCTGTAGGGATGGGCAAGGGGCAATGGCCTGAAACTGCAAGAGAGTAGATTTAGATTAGATACAAGGAAGAAATTCTTCACCATGAGAGTGGTGAAGCACTGGCACAGGTTGCCCGAAGAGGCTGTAGATGCTGCCCCATCCCTGGCAGTGTCCAAGGCTGGGCTGGATGAGGCTTTGAGCAACCTGGGCTGGTGGGAAAGAGGTGTCCCTGCTCACAGCAGGGGGGTTGGAACTACGTGATCCTCAAGGTCCCTTCCAACCTGAACCATTCTGTGATTCTACAATTGTGGCTAATTTCTGAAACGGATTCCAGGGATGACCTTACATTGTCACGGATGTTGATGTCTGATCCCTTTGCAAGCAGCAGCTTCACCAGCTCAATATGCTTGTACTCAGTGGCCCAGATCATTGGCGTCCAGCCTCCGTCGTCCTGAGGAGGGAAAGGAAAGGGTGAGACACATAAAACGGGCAAAACAACCCCGTGTGCACCTTCCTTGGGATTCACAGACCCCTTCCCTCCCCACATCTGTCTCCTCGCTCTCTTCTCGCCTATGCTGCTGCAGGGAGGGGCCTCTCAGGGTCCTGCAGAGCCCAGCATGATTCGAACCAACACTCTCAGCAGGATGGAACTCATCTGCAGCTCAGCACACCAGCAATGGATCTCTAGGTCATTCAAATACAGCTGACTGTCCAAAAGGCACAAGGAACATCCAGCTTGTGTAAACAAAATCTTACAGAAGCTCCCTGAGAAGCCTGGGGGACCGGACCTTCCCTCAGAGTGAGGAACCCTGATGCAGGGCTGCCTCACCCCACAGCGATGGATCAGCTCTGCGATGGCCAGTGACAGGCTTGACCCATCCCACAACATGTAAACTGAAGGAGAATAGGTTTAGATTGGATCTTAAGAAATCTTTCAGTCCGAGGGCAGCAAGACTCTGGAATAAACTGCCCAGAGAGGTTGCGGCTGCCCCCTCCCTGGAGGTGTTCAACACCAGGTTGGATGAGACCTTGAGCAACCTGGGCTGGTTGAGGCGTCCCTGCCCATGGCAGGGGTTGGATTAGATCATCTCTAAGGTCCCTTCCAAACTGAGGATTGATTCTATGTCCAGGGTCCCGCCCTGGCCTCACTAGGAGAAGTACAGTGACACCCCTGAGCAACAGGCTCCACCTGCAAATTCAGGGTCAAGAAGAAACTGCAAATCAAGGCACATTGCAGGTAAGTTTCCATGAGGTTAGCGAAGGGGATCACCTCTGGCAGGATGCCCACAGCATTGTCCCCCTGTGCTGTTTTCCTTTTACTTCAGCAGCAGAACTGCATTGGAACAACCACTGTGGAGACAGCACACGGCTGAGATTTGGGTCTCTGACCCAAGTTTCTGTGCTCCTCACCTGGCAGTTGACATCCATCTTCCCGTTGGAGAGGAGGTACTGAACAACGTCGTAGTGCCCCTTCTTGGCAGCCAAGTGCAGACACGTGGAGCCCTCCGCGTCCTGGACACAACCACAGAAGAAGTACTCAGGGGACATCCCTTCCCAGCGTTTCCCAGGTCTGCCCGACACCAGTGATGCTTAGGAACACCAGAGAAGTTCCCAGACTGAGCAGAGGCCTTCAAAAGCCCCCAGCCCTCTGCCAGGAGGGGAGAGAGGAGCAGCACCAAGTAGAGAGAGCTTTATACAAGAAGTGCAACCCATGCAAAGTGGGAGGCTGAGCGTGCAAAGGCTACAGGAAGGATATCTTAGCAAAGCCTAGGGAAGGTACCAGCCTCAAACCCTGGCAGACTGACGCTCTCTTTCCCCAGCAGACCCTTTCCAACTCTTCTCCATGTGCTGAAGGGGAGGCAAAAGCCCTTATAGAGGCAGAGCTTATGCTTTATATCAGACAAGTCGCCTTGTCTCAACCCAAAATACTCCTTTTATACACTTTTGGGATTTTTTGGCTATGTCTTATTAGCACCAGCTTTATGCCAGCACCTGGCAGTGGGGCAAAAGGGCTAGGAGCTTCCCAAGAGCCTGAGCCCCCAGCACGCCTGCAGCCGTCTGCTTAGACAGGAGATAAAAAACAACGGTGAAGGTTGAAAGGAAAAATCCCTTAGGAGCTGAGAACACAGTGTCTGGTGGAGATGGACAGGCTGTGAGTCACGACAGAGACACTCCCAAACCAACACCAAAGATCTCAGTGGCGGGAGCCTGATTTTTATCAGGCTTTTATATCCCAAGAGTTTAGCAAGGTCCAGAGACCAGGAAATGAGGAGGAAATGAAAGACTAAAAAGCAAAGTGACTCCTTCCAGTTAAGCCCCTGGCAGCAAGGTTGGAGGCGAGAGCTTTGGGATGGAGCTGAGCAGAGAAGCAAGAAGCATCCCTCGAGCAAGGATGGGATGTCTCGGGTCAGGGATTACACTGTGTGAGCTTCCTGGGGTAAAGAGAGGCTTCCTACACCCCCGTGAGACACGTGCAGCTTCTTAACCCTGTGGAGAGCAGGCATATTCTAATATAAAGTTTCTGCAGGTTTTGAGTGGGGCTTTTACATCCTATTGAGAGGATCAACAGCTTCGCTGTGGGGTCTGAGAAGCCTGCCCCCCTCACCCCCCCCAGGCAGCAGTCCCGCAGGGCTGGGGGCCTCGTCAGCACCCCCCTGCTCCTGAACGTCTGGGTTTCTCGTGGGATGGCTGGAGCTGATTTTAAACTGCTGCTTTCAAAAAGATGACTAATTTGGTGCAGGAAGCTAATTAACATAATAAACTAGTCTAGACTTCAGACGTGATCTCAGGCTTCTAATTTGCTTTTGCAAGCTCAGGATTTATTTCCTTCCCTTCCCTTTACCTTCAGAAGCAAAAACCACCCACTTTTCTCTTCCACAGGAACAGATCAGGTGAGAGATGTCTGCATTGCTCCAAGACACTTGGGGCAGTGGCCAGCATGAACCCATGTGTGCCTGTCCTCTCCTTTCCCCTTTCCAGCTCAGAACCAGGCTCCCAAGGATCTGTTTAAGGCTCAGGGTGGGCAGCACTTGATTATCTTGTGCAATTCTCCTGGCCCTGCCAGCTCCTTTGGGAAAAGAGCATCCCGACCCTGCCGTACTCCCCAGAAATAGCAGAACATGTCATCAGCAGCAGCAGGTTGTAACAATAAGAAGTTCACATGGGGAGGGTTCCTGCGCTCCAAATAGCATCTGATTTATGGGACTAATAAATGGTCTGTATATTTTCCAAGATTGCAAAGCAACCAGAGCATGCTAAAGGCAAAGAGACAGCTGCATTTTATTGTATTTGTTTAAATTAAAGGGTAGAGTTTAAAGATGGGGTCCAATTTTGCCACTGCGGCGTGACTGCGAGGAACCACACATCAGTCCTTTGGAAAGCAAAGCTGCTTCTGCCAGTTTTGCTGGCTTGGTAGGCACACAATTACCAGGCTGTTTTAAAATGCCACCCCAAAATCCTCATTGTTAGAGTGTCTAGAGAAGGAAACTCTGAAACAAAACTCTAAATTCACTGCAGTGGATTTGTGACACCAATACTTTGTGGTTTCATGCAAAATCAAAACCCGCCCTAACGTTGGGTGACACAAACTAACGCAGTGAGCAGCAGCACTTGCCCCAAACTGCTCACGGCCAGCAGTTAAAACGATCCTCCTGATAACCACAGCCCGGCCAAGCTTTTGTACCCAAGACAAGCAAGTCCATTCCCCCTCTGCCTGCGCACTTCCAGCCAAGCCTTAAAATCTATCGAGAAAGAAAGGGTGGGCAGAGTCTTCTTCAGGAGAAAAAAATAAGGATCAAACTGTTACCTTAGGATCTACCAGTGCTCCAGCCTTGATAAGGTATTTCACAGTTTCCAGATGGTTGTTTTCTGCTGCTTCCATCAGTGGGGTCCTCTGGTCTTCAGAGCAGGTGTCTATATTAGCACCAGCCTGTTTAGAGGCCAAGGCAAATACAAGGACAGGATTTGATTATTGCTGCTGGTTAGCAGGGGAAGAATGTGGGAGGAGAGATTTAGCAACAATTTTTTTTTCCCCTGAAATTTGGCTATATTAAGCAGGTAAAAAAAAAAAAACACAAAAGAAGTAAAAACAGGAAAAAAGGCAATCCACCTTCACCTGTTTTGGAAAGCAGCACAGGCTGCCTGCCCTCCCTCCGGCCTTCTACAGCCACTAACCGGCACATAAGGAGGCCAATAGCCGGTATTAGGTAACTCTTGTTATTGATGGATTCCATAGTGCTACTTTCTAGATATCGTTTGTTTAAGAATTTGGTAAAATCAGACTCCTCTTTTTTTCCAGCAGCTTTCTTTTCCCCCAGTCACAAAGAACAAAACAACCAGCTCTTCCCAACTTGCTGATTGCAACAGGCAGGAGCTGTAAAAAAAAGGGATCCTGGATATTGGCCAGCTATTCCTGCCGAAGT